CACCAGGAGCAGAAGTACGACCACGACGCAGCACCATGAGCTGGAGGAGAGGAGGAGAGATGCAGCAGAGCAAATAACAAGCAACATAATAGGAGAATAGTTGTTGCTGCTTTTGCTGAAAGAAAAACTAAGATACAGCCAAGGGAGGGAGAATGAGTGAAGAAGAGACGGAGAGAAGGACAGAGAAACAGAGACAAGGAAAGAATGGATACGACAACCACAACAGAAATAATAATGGCATATAAATGAAGTAACAAACATTGTTTTCCTTTGACATAACTCATTAACCAGCAGAGGCCACCAAGACGAATTGAAGCAAGTTGCAGTTGGAGTTGCAGTGGAGTTGGCCCTATTGCTCGACTATGAAGGGGGAATAAGATGGGAAGGAGGCTGCACAAAGCTAGCTGACAGCATGTAAATTAATGTCTTGTAACTGGTCGCCAGCTGCAGCTCTAGCCTTAGCCTTATTCTCAGCCTTAGCTGCAGCTTTAACTGTGGAAGAGTTTAATAGACCCCAAGCTAAAATTTCTTAATTAAAACAATAAGCAGGCGTTGGGTCTGGCCACAAATGTCTGCAATTATATGCATGGCACTCACACACACACACACTGAGACAGCAGCAACAGCAGCAGCTGCCGTTGCCATAAGGCAACATCAACAGCTGCCAGTTGGTTGGCAAATCTATCCGCAGAAACGCGACCGCAACCGCAACGCGGCGCTTTGCTGGGTGTCCTGTCAGCAGTGTCGGCCAGACACGACAGAAACGTCGAGGATGCTCCTGTAAATGAAGAAATTCCGCTGTCGTCTGTTGTCTTCGTGGCTGTCGCCCTTTGGCACGTCGCCTGCTGTGCCTTATGACTAATGATTGAAATTTCATGCTCCATATGGGTGCGAAGCTCGCCGCGTTGTCAGTTCATTTGGCTGCCATGATATGGCAAAAATATCGTGAAACGTTGCCACTGCTGCTGCTGCCACTGSCACTGCTGCTGCCTAATTAAGGAAGAGTCGGAAAGAGTAGTGTCCCACGCTTAGCCGAAAAGTACGCAATTAAATGCTTGCTAGCACTCTTTTAGGCGTGTAAACACGCGCACAAACGCCGAATTCTCAATTGGCAATCAGGAATTGGCAATTGGCTGTACGTGATTTAGCAAAAGTTGCACGCACACGCACACACTCACTCACACGCACATGGGCGACAGGGGCGTGGCCGCATAATCGATTTTGAAGTGTGAATACGTTGCCACGCCTGGCCTACTTTAGGGGCGCCTCGGCCGTCTGTCCGCCCGTCTCCGAGCGACGCCTAAAGTTATTTGCGGCCATTTTTTAATCTACACTTGAACGCCGGCCTAGCACGCGGCAGTATTTGCACAACGTGATGAGATTTTGCGGTTGCTAACCAATCGAGGGCCTTTATTTACATTTTTCTCAGCTTTTGCTTATCGATCTCTGGATTTGGCTTTGGCTACGGCTACAGCTTTGGCTTTTTGCCCTGTTTGTTGCCCGTCTCTTGCTGCGCATTCGATGCGGTTTAATTTTTGTTTTGGTTTTTTTTTTGCGCCCAAAAGCAGGCAACACGAAGCAGGCGACAACTGAAACTAGGTAGAGGGTCTTTTCGCAAGCAATAGCTTGCAGGTCCATAAGTTTCCTCGGCCGGCGACAGAGCAAAAAGCAAAAAAAGAAAAAACATGAGAAAGAAAAATGGTGTTATAAATAAGAAATGTTTGTCTGGCTCACAGAAACCGCTGGACTCTTACAACAATATGTCTTAAATTGCACCCTCAAAGCGACGATGGAGCATTTAAATCTGAAATTACATATCTATCAAATAAACTACTATTTGTATTTAATAAATATTTTGTAAATGAAATGAAACGTATTCATGCATGCACAACTCTGTTACAGAGTCAATCAATAGCATATGTTGTTAGATAAAAGGGTCCTTGAATTATAAATAACCAACAAATACCTCTGGTCCTTTATTACAACGCATCATGGAAGTGGGTAATAGGAATCATGTATGCATAAAATGAAATACAAGCACTTTATGAAATAAAATAATTAAAGTGCAATTATCATTTAAATGTATTTACGCATCTGCAACTGCAAATCGTTTGCACCACTGAATCGAGGAGATATCCTTTGCATATTGGGAATGCTGTCAGCTGCTTTACCTACACCACACAGTTGACCATTGGCTTGGTTAACACTGTGGCTTGATTTAGAAATTGTTGCTATCGCTGTTGTTGTTGGTGTAGTTTTTACTGTTGTTGTGGTTGCTATTGCTGGCTAGACCGCGTTCTCAATTGGTTTTTGCGATTTCGCTTTTCCACTGAAATTTTGCCACTTAGCTGGTCGTAGGGCATTGTTAAGCAGCTGTTCAGACTCTATATATGTGAATGTGGGTGTGGATGTAGGTGCATTGAGCCTTAGCTCATAGTACGCTGATTCAAGTAAATGGCGCTAATGGCCGATCGAAGTGGGCCCGCAAAGCGACTCCGTCTCCACTTATCTGCAGTTCGAGTGCATTTCGCGCGGCAATTATTTTTGCTCAATACCCGCACTTGACTTTAAATTGTCGCCGACTGTGTCAGTCCCACCTGAACTCATCTTGCCATCCGCCAGCCTCTTCCGTTTGCGAGGAAGGGCTTTTGCCCTGACGATTTTAATTTGTCGCTCTGTGCCAATTGTTAAGCAAAAGTGGCTAATTTGAAATTCTTTTGAGCGAAGTGCGCACATTTGTGAATGCCAAGTTGACGACGTCGTTAGCCCAGCTGTGCCCACCGCGAGGGGATTGGAATTAGTCACTGGGGCCAGAGAGGTAGGGCACAGAGAACTGGAAGCTGGGAGCTAGGGGCTGCGAGCAGGGAGCTGAGAGCCGAGAGCTGAGAGCTGAGAGCTGAGAACTGGGAACTGGAACCTGGGAACTGAGAGCTGCGAGCTGCGAACTGTGAACTGTCTGTCCGTCTATCTGTCTGTTGTCGCCGCGGCTGTTGCTACTGCCTGCCTTTGTCTTTGTGTCACGCGGCATGAAATTGAATTTTGGTCTGCAGCAGTTGACTGGCGACGAAAGCCAGCCAATTGGCCCCTTCTCGTTCCCGCTGCCGAACCTCATTTACCCCTCGCTCGTCGCCCGTCGTCCGTCGTCCGTCGCCCGTCGCCCGTCGCCCGTCGCCTGTCGCCTGTCGCCTCGTAAGCCTTGCCTTCAATTATGGCTTACGGCCAAACGCCGCCATTTTGACACTCATACAGCGTAATTCGAAATGAATGAAAATTCTTTATAACTACCGTCAGTTTTTCTGCTGTTTTCTCAATTGTTTGTGCTGTTGTTTTGAGCGCTTGAATTTCAATTTACATAAGTCTCTGCATCTGCACCCAGCACCAGACTCTCTCATTCTCATTCTTACTCTCTGTTTCTCCGCCCCGTCCCATCTTCATTCTTAGTTCAACTTTTATCTTAACTCTGTGCCTCGTTTTTCTCCTCTTTCTGCTGCCAGCCGGCAAAACTTGAGTTGTTTTTGTGGTTAAATGTAAATTTTATTGAATTTAACTCTTTTGTGTCTGTCTGGCTGAGCGTTAAAGAGGAAATTGCATAATTATGCCTAATCTTGAGACCTATTGCAGCGCCACTTTCCAAATTTATGCAATGCAAAACGAGAATCGACCCCCAATCACTAAGGGAATTAATCCAACGCTGGGAGCTGCAGCTAAGTGGCTCCGTTCGGTTTGACAAAGTGTATTATTGGAATATGTAACGATTTCTCTGTCTGCTTCTATCTTCGAAATTATTTGCCTATGGCAAATTAAACACGAGAAGCGGTGTGTGTATAAGGGAGAAAAAGAGAGAGAGATAGAGGCAGAACAGATACAGAGATAGAGAGAGAATAAAATATTTATCGTTACATTTATGCAACATTTCAATCATTAATAAATCAATTAAAATAAATTGGAATTTTGTGCGCTGATGTTGAACGCGAAAAAGGTTTTTTTTTTTTTTCTTTTTTGCAGGGCCCTTTCTTCGACTGTGGAACTGCTCTGTTCAGTCCGTGTGATGGGCTCGGTTCCATGCCATTTAATGCAATTAAGCAAAGCTCTCTTGATATTATTGTTTTTGTTGGCTTTTCGAATTGTTGCTGATATAAATCAAAAAATGAATCATTTGACGCGCTCGACAGATCGACGAGCCAACGACGCCAACAACTTAAATTATTCATTTGATTTACGGTGACACAAATTTGCAGCCAAATGGAATATTAACTGTGCGACGTGGAGGACGCGCAGCAACGCGGCATCCGCTTAAAATGCACTTTTATAAACAGCACACAAAAAGAATTATGTTCCCAGACAAACAGAAACTACATAGAGCATAGAATGTTGGCACAAGACATCCTTTTCCAAATCTGGACATAAAACTACTTTCAGCGCATTACAAGGCAGACATGTCAAAAGTTGTACGACGGCTGTCGATGTGCCTGCCAGTATACGGCTGAATAAGAGGCGCACTGGCAGTGGCGACGACCGACAGGAAGTAGCAGCAAATCCCAGCAACACCCACCAACACCCACACACCACACACCCGTATACACACACTCACATTGATCCTTATCTATGTGTATATACACACACATTTTAGCACATCAATAAGCGGGTGGTTAGACATAAGCGTTAAGAGCATTAGAACTTTGCCTTCAACTATCCAGTCTTCCCCCTAATAGATGGCAAACGCAAACTGCTGACTCCGAATCAGGATTTTGACTAAGGCGAAGTGCAAGCAGCCAACAGCCAACACACTGTCACATGGAGCACGTCGAGTTGCCAGCTTACCCTTAAGTAGACGATAGGCAAGACAGCAGCAGCCAAAATGCATCATTGGAAACAATCTTTTGTATTTGCCATATGGTTTAATAAAATGTGCAGCTATTAAGGGCTTAGCATAGAACGTAGACCAGCACCAGCTAATATATAAAGGTGTTAATAATTATGCTTATCCACAATAAACTGGCTCAATTTATAGCATTAGTTTCCGTAACTGGGCTCGCAGTTGCCTCAGCCTTGCCGTTGTCCAGGTTGAGTTTCTCAGTCTTGACCTGCTGAATGCATTGATGAATCTTGTGGGCAGTTTCGCACTTGTTGGTGCCGCGGAGTGAATGACAGGCACGTTGTGGCCACCAGGTGGGATTGATTGCATCCGACAGATGACCAACCAAGTCCTGCTCCACAAAGACACCGTCGTGCATCAGACCCATCTGCTCGTAGAGGCAATGCGTGAAGCATTGAGTGGCCTCAGTGACATTTGTGGCATCGTTGGTGTGAAACTGCAGCAGCTCCTTCAAGGACAGCTCCGTCTGCTGGGCGCAGAGGCGCACCTGATCCGCGCTAAACTGACGCGGAGTATCCTCGATTACAGTCACTGCAAGATTCGCCTCAACTTTGGCATATCGAGACTAGCAAAGAGTAGAACAGAAACATTTCAGCACAACTCTCAGCCGCCATTCAGTGTCCCACAAACCTCAGCGCCGACAAGGAAACAAAGTGCAACCAGCAGGTACGAAATACTCATAGTAAAGATTGAATCAGAACTGATGACTGCAGAATCGCAAAACCTCGTTTATATAGTCGAGATTTAGCCATTTGTTTTATCATGTCATTAGATCTAGATCTAATTGCAAATATCAATTCAATGAGCCGCATAAACCGCTTAGCCGAACATTTGCTTTCATTGCCATTGCCAGAAATGTTCCAAGTTTGCTGCTCGAAAAGTTTAGCCCGCAGTTTTAATAATGCAAAGTAGTCGAAGGAACCCAAAATTAAATTGATGCCAATGTCGATACTTCGAGAGCGGCTTCACAAAGTTTCCCAAAAAAAGTTGCCAAAAAAATTAAAACAAAACGTGAGCTGCTGCGAGTGCAGTTGCTGTACTACGCACCTGGAATACCCTTATTGCCTACTGCCAAGCAGATCGTGCCCGCACAGCATATATGTATATATATATATATTAGGTAAATTAAAGACTACTATGTAAGAGAATAATAGGTATTTATATACATATCTGCGGATTATATGTGAATATGTATGTCTCTATATATGTATGTGTGTGTGTTGCAGTGCTTCCGCTTAGTCTGACTGCTGCTGCTGCTGCTGCTGTTATGGGCTACGACTATTTCCGCTGGTCGCATTAACTGCAGGCGCATAACTTTTCCAATTTGCTTTTGGCAATTATTGATATAAGCCGGCAGCAACAACACTTCAGCTCAGTTTTTCTCCGACTCTGTCTCTCTCTCCCCCTGCGCTGTGCGTCTCCCAGTTGAATTTGTGTATGTGAGGCGGGGCCGTCCAAGCATATTTTCTTGCATTTTGCGCATATTTGTGCAACATTCTCAAAATTCTTCAACAAAGTTTTGTTATTATTGCCGTTTTGCTCGAGACTCGAGAGTTGAGAGTCGAGAGTCGAGAGTCGAGACTTGGGTTTGGTACTGACTGCCACTTTGATTACTTTTGCAGTTGCCGTTGCAATTAGTTTGTTCATTAGACGAGGCAACAAACAGCCCATGACGAGAGAGAGATAGGCAGGACCGAGAGCAGCCAGAGCTGCAAGAGCTGCCTCGAGTTGATTGGAATTCACACACTTAATTAGTTGCATGCCCAGTTAATTTCCTCTTTGTTCCTGCCACTGTAGTTGGTAATTGCGAGCAGTTTTTGCTAAAATATATATTGAAGATGCACGTGCACATACACATGTTTGCCTGCCTTCCCACTGCCCCTCGGCGATGCAAATAAGTTAACAGGCCACCAGTGCATACGGTCCACACAGTCCACATTGAGTAAAGTGATTTTCCGTTTTTGTAAGCTCTAAAATTCAATACAGTTTTCACCGCTTGAAGTCATTCAAATGTGTTAGCCGCAACGATCTCCCCAGCTTGGCCGCAAGGCAAGAGCCTTGGAACTGGACCTGGACCTGTACCAGGATTTCCCGCCATCCCGGTCTCTTGTTTTGTATCCATTACACTCTGCACATATTTGTTGCATAATGCCATCTTATGCTCGGGCACATTGTTGACCGGTTGTTTGGTATTCTGGGTAAAGTCTTTGCTGCCCGCCCTTTTGTATTTGCATTATCTCCTGATAGTCTAATGCCAAAGCATTTTGGTTGAAAAATCTACAATTCGCATGCCGCAAAACAAAAGCAAATGCCAGAGACAAACTCGTCAAGATGAATGACTGTGAGCAAATCCAGCGATTCAAGCTTGCATGCCAGCATTACTCCATGTCAGTAGACCCCGAGAGCCCGGATAGCCTGCGCAATTCAAATTGCACATGTCCAGCCCCCTCCACTCACCAGTCAAAAAAA